CAAAAGTTTCAAGCTATCATAATGCTCTGTGCCATCATGGTTCCTGAAACAAAGCCAGTAAACCATGAGCTAGAACCTCTGAACCCAGGAACCACGATGAATCTTTTTCCTTGCCACAGATTAGAAAAGAGCAGTTTTGAAACAACAAACCAAAATAATCCCTGGAGCCCTTGGGTATTTGGTTGCAGTGATGACCAACTTGGGTTAGTCCCATCGGGTGACTATCACTAATGCTGCTACCATACATATTCATGATCCGAATATAGTAAATTTTTAAATGTCTACAGTTACTTTATTAATTAAATTCCTTCTCCATTGAGAATTTGAAATTCACCTAGATTTTATCTAGTTATTAAAATGACTTTATGGCATGGGTTTAATGAGGATATGTTACAGATAGAACTGTTTTCATCCTAATACCTTGTAATTAAACCAGTAGGGTTTTTTTTTTATTTATCTTTTTATTGATTCTTTGTGGATTTCACACCACGTATCCTGATTACACTCATTTTTCTATCCCCTCATTTCTACCTTCTGTCCTTGCAGCCTCCATCCCCAAAATAAAATAAAATTTATTTTTTTTAAGTTTATTTATTTGCTATGTATACATGACATTCTGCCTCCATGTATGCCTGCATCAGATCTCAGTACAGATGGTTGTGAGCCACCATGTGGTTGCTGGGAATTGAACTCAGGACCTCTGGAAGAGCAGGCAATGCTCTTAACCACTGAGCCATATCTCCAAAGAAAAAAACAACAAAACAAACAAAAAAGTCTTGGCGTGGAAGCTGTTGTGTGAAATAGCAAGTCACACTGTATACCCTTTAGTCCATGCATCTTAACTTGTAAGTGTTCATTGCAATGCTTATTGGTCTGGTTTGAGGCCACTGGCTTCTGCTATACTCTGAATACTGAACCCTCACTGGGTCTGCTCTTGAATATCCCATTGTTCCCTTGTGTCATAGAGATCCAGTAGCTCTGGATTTGCTGGTCTGGCCTCATCACATGCTCCAACAGTACATAGATTTGGGGGATGTTGGTGTGTGACAAATCATAGACCATGTTCTGGTTCTGGGTCGTAGCTGAATTGGTCAGCCTGCCAACTTTCCTTCACCATAGCTGTCTGGAAGAGCTCTCCAACACAGCCCTGGCTCACTCACTTGATGCAGCAGACAGCAAAGAACAGGGCTAGTTCTATTACAGGTCCAGCCTACCCACACTCACACTATCAGGGCCAGTTCTACTGTTTAGCCCAGTCACCTGGTGAAGACAAAACTAGCTCTTCAATTCTCAAGCCCCCGAGTTTGGCCCTCCTGCGTGTTTTTGGTTGCAAGGGGTGGGTGGTGGGGGCACATTTCCCTTACCCTTGCTGTCCCTGGGCAAATGAGGAAGGGATGCAGCTCCTCTGCTCTCATTCTTAAATACCTGGCTACATGGTCCTGCCAACAGAGTGAGCTCTAGTGTGGTGCACAGGTGACATTTTGTGCCCACTCTGCTATGTGCATAGACTGTAGAGTCATCAAGAGCCACACAGACATCAGGAGCTTGGACTGCAACCTAGGACATTTAGTGTCAAAGTGTTGAGGTCTGTTGGGGCCATGTAAATCTGAGCATCCTATGTTGCCTTTCAGTGCTATGGTGTCCTCTGGGCCTAGATTGCTTCCAGGGGCCTTGTCTGGGTCCAGGACCCTGCCATGGCTGCCATTGTGTTGATGTCCATGATTCCTTTTACCACCAAAGGCAGTGAGGATAGGGCTGAAAAGAGTTGCTGGTTCTTCCTTTTTATTTAAACAGGAAAGGGAAAATGATGTGGGAAGTCCTTCTGTCTATGTGTTGCTTTTATTGGTTAATGAATAAAGAAACAGCTTTAGAACTATATAGGGGAACAGAGATAGGCAGGGAAAACTAAGCAGAATGCTGTGAGAAAAGAGTTAGAGTCAGAGAGAAGCATTGAAGCTCCTCTGAGACAGATGCAAGTCAGAACTTTAGCTGGTAAGCCAAAGCTACATGATGAGACACGGATTAATGGAGATGGGATAAATTAATATGTAAAAGTTATCTAGTTAGAAGTTAGAGTTAATGGGCCAAGCAGTGATTTAATTAATATGGTTTCTGTGTGATTATTTCAGTTCTGGGCAGGTGGGACAAATAAGCAACTCCCTCATCTAACAAATTGGCACCAACATAATGGACTAAATCCATGTTAAACCTGAGAAAGCTAAAAAAGAAATCCTCGACACAAAAGAACAGAGTTAAGCATGGTTTGGTAGCAGCAATTAGTTGGCTGGGCTCTGTTTGCTAGAAGCAAGGCATAGCTCCTTTAAGAGAGGTTTTCTTGATTCAGCCATAGCAGGAAAAAAGCCACACCATTTTGAAATGCCTACTTTCTGGGCCATGCTGTCAGGGCATACTCTGACTTTTTCAGGCAGGAGTTCAGCTACAGAGTATCTGAGTGGGGTTTGTTAGCAGCATGCTGCAGCTTGCTTGATGGCAACTTGGACCAGATGTGTGCATGGAAGTGGGAGGTGTGTGTGACTCTCAGAGGCAGCGAGCAGCTCTGCCATGCTGACCTGTGAAGGGCAAGCATGAAATGCTGTATTTTCCTTAGCAATAACACAGCTTAAATTTTATGAAGTGCTTAGCATTTTAAGTACCATTCCTGGGCACTAAAGAACTACTAATATACAATAAGACATATTCAGATGAAAATGAACTCTAAATGCATCACAGTGTTGGATAAATGTACAAAGGCTTGAGAGGGAGAGAGAGAGAGAAGAAAACGAGTATAGAGAGTTGAAAAATGAATACAGACAGTTAAAAAAAGGAAATGGTTTAAAATAAGTTAAAGTCTTTATACAGAGTAAAGGCAATCATAGATTAAAAGTAGTAAACAAAGAATAAGCCCCCTGAAGATGGAAAATTCACAGAGTCTCTGGATTATGTATATAATTGTGATTTTTTTTGAAGTTTTTGACTGTGAAGGAACTAAGTACTGGGAGAAATTTCATTATATGGACACTAGGCTAAACCAGCATGTATATTATAAAGGTATCTTGACTCTAGAATTTGGGTCTAAGGATATGCTGCTTTGGAAAAGAGGTTCTTTTGTCTCCACAGAGGATAAGAACCTGTAGATTGCTTCCAGACTAATATGGCTTGATTAACCAAGACCCCCTCAAAGGTCACTGTGAATACACTCCCCAAAATACTTTACCCAATAAATACCAGAAAGCAGTTTGGAGAGAAATAACTGTACCTATGTTTCCAAATATTGTCTATAAAGGTTTATTTACATTTAAATGGGGATATGCTATAGAGATGGGTACTTTGCATTGGTTTGGATCTTGCTCTATTGATACAAAGTTAAGGTCAATTCTGTATATGTATATTTCTGTTCTTAATTAAGGTATTGTATTTTTTCAGCTCATTTAAAAATAAGTATAATATATAATTAAGAAATAGAGGTTAATAGATAATCATCTATAATAGTTATACTTGTAGTCATGTTAGTTAGATTTTCTAGATGTACAGAGATGTATTTCAAATACGTATTATTCAAATCTTTCAAAGACTAACAGAATATGGCATTTAAAATGCTTTAAAAACTTAGAACTTTTCATGACAGTGAGACATGTCTGCTCCTGGCAGCACCAGTTACTTCAAGAGGAAGATGGACATTTCTAGAGTTTGCTAGCCATTCGGGCAAGAAACTGTTCTTGCCTGGACTGCTTAACTGGACATGCAGGACCCACAGAGAAATGACTGCTAAACTTGCCTAAAGGTGATGCAATCCTTCAGTGTTCCTGATTCATGAAAGAGTTTGCCAAACATTGTGCAGGACACAGAAGAAAATGACTAATAAACTGCCAATATAGGTGGAACTCTCATTGAAACTTCCTGCTTCATGGAAAAGTCTATTGGATGCTACGGGCCCGTGGGCTGAAGATGGATGCCCCAATGGTACAAAAAACTTTGTGTGATTATGCAGGTAGCAAGATATCTCTGTCAATTCTAGAGTTTTAAAAGTTGCTTACAATGAACTTATTGTTTACTTAGGTAATATTCTATCCTTCTGAAGTCTTTGAGGAATTGAAGAGTAGATAGTAATAATATAGCTTTCCTTAGTTATTATAAGAGATAAAGTAGATATAAATATTGTAGCTGTAATTCTTGCTTGATACCTGTTTTGTTATATTTAATTTTGCTATGTTAAAAGTTAAAATCTTTCTTTTTTATTTAAACAGAAAAGGAGAGATGATGTGGGATTCCTCTCTGTATGCTGTGAATACCATTGGTTAATAAAAGACTACTTTGAGCCCATAGCAGAGAAAGGCTTTAAGAGCTGGGTAGGGTAGATAAAACTGGATGCTGGGAGGAAAAAGGCGGAGTCAGAGAGAAGTCATGGAGCCACTGCCAGAGATACACGTGCTGAAACTTTTCTGGTAGGCCACGACCTTGTGGTGATGCACAGAGTAATGGAGATAGGTTAAATTAATATGTAAGAGTTAGCCAATAAGAAGCTAGAACTAATGGGCCAAACAGTGATTTAAGTAATATAGTTTCTGTTTGATTATTTCAGTTCTGGGTGGCTGGGACAAACAAGCAGCTCCCTTTTTACTATACCCCTCATTGACTGTACCAGTCTGGACAGCAGGCCCTGGTCCTCCTTAGAACAACACAGGAGCTGTCCCTGCTCATGCAGGTTTGGGTGAGCAAACCCTGAAACCCTTTGCTCCTTGTTCCTCCCCCATCAATACAGACCTTAGCTGTGATTGGACCATGGATTTAGACAGAGTTCTTTGTAGCAGCCCTGGCTCAGATGTCACCATGATTCTGGTTAGCAGTGCATGTCACTCAATGGTATGGACCCAACAGTTGAATGACATTTGAACCCCCATATGTCTCCAGGTGTGAGCCCAGATCCTGGGCATCCACTCTTAAACCAACATATGTCTAGTCTTTGATATTTATGTCTTTACTGCAAACTGAGATCCGTTATATTATTTTTGAAAGGCATATATGTTTTTATATGACATCTCTCTTTATTTCACATAGTACAGTTGAATGAGTATATTGATTTTGAAAACAATCACTTAAAGTTAGGTATAAGAGTAATTGGATTTTTAGAGTTAATTCCATCCTAAATTAATTAAAGGTAAAGAAAATGTGAACTATTGAAGTATTTCTGAAGACTACGAGCCATTTTTTATGTTTTCTGTTAAACCATTTTTGTGAAAGATACCAATGCTAGTAGCTACCTTTGAAATCAATGTTATGGCCAGCAAGCTAAGCTTAAGTTTATTTTCTCATTCAAGAATTATGCTTTATATTCATAGTTAAGTGAGTGAAAGAAATTAATTTTAATATTTGAGTATGGCCTTTGGTTAGTACATTTTTATATGATTACTTCACGTGGTAATTAAAGTTCTACTCCTCATTCATATCCCAAATGAACTTTAAGGGTATGTTTTTCATTTTTTTGTAGAATATTCTGTCAAATCTTTCATTTTGATCCACAGTCAAGTGATGCTTCCAGTCTCCAATGGTTCCTAATGGGAGAAGCACAGGATAGCAGCTACATAAGTAGCAGTATCGGGGCGCAATCCACCCAACTCACTCTACTCCTACAACTCACACTGCACATCACTGAGTTTTCAGGAGGGTTATATTGGCTATCTCTCCTCTCATCACAGAAGAAACCTCTGAGTAGCAACATAATAAGTATCACTAGCTACTATCACTGAGTTGTAGCCAATTTTTAAAAAGAAAAAAAAAACACCTTAAAAGTTAAAAAAAATTAGAATTTTAAAAGTACATTTTACTATGTGCCAATTGTTATACTAAGAAAACATTTAGATTTCAAACACAGTATCTTTCACAGTCTTTTGAGGTATAAGCTTTTGGTTCTTTATTTTTAAACAGAAAAAAAATGAGACCCAGAGGTTTTTAGCAAATCAAGTCAAGGCATCACAGAGCTTCAGAGTTGTTATTGTTATGGTTTTACTGAGTAGGAATTTGAAATGATCACTACAGTAATTAAAATGAAAATAGCCATTTAGGGTCCTTAGCTGTCTGAGAGGATGATATTATTATTTGCATTTGGAACATATAATGAGCTATCATGGGTAAGACATTTAGGCTTGCTGAGGAGAGAGATGTAAGAATTGATGTTAAGTGGCAGAAGAGACAAAATAAAAGAGTTCCTGAAAAATATAAAAACCCAGCAATTTTTAAATATATGCTAATTCTCACAGCAATGATAATTTAAAATAATATCAAGTGGAAAATATTCATTCTTACCCATATCTCTGGGCATATAATGAGATCATAATAAGCCTATTGCCTGTTTACTTTATTGAATTCATGTCAGAAATAGTTATTAAGACATCCCTCTAATTTTTATGATAAAAAAATCTCACACATGAGGAAGCAACATTTTAAACTTTGTTTTCAGTATGAACAAACAGTAAGTTTACTTGTTCAATATCCTAGGAAAATAGTAAATAATATTGTTCTTGTCTAAGCAGTTCATCACCATGTTTGTAATCCTAGCTTTCAGGAAGAGGCTGTAGAGGCAGGAGGATTATGAATTTAAGGTAGCTATGGTTGCTCAGACCAAACTGAGAAACACACATTCTCTCTCTCTTAGAAACACACACACACACACACACACACACACACACCCAACAAAACAAAATAAAACCAAAATAAAGCACAAAACAAAAGAAACAACATCAAGAAAACAATAGCACAATATCAATTAGAGTCTTCTAACACATCTATTGCCTAGGACAAGCCTGCTGACACCTTTGAAAAATTGAGTTGTGTTGCCTAAAATGTAGGAAACTCATATTTATTTAGTAAGTGAAATTGTCAATTTTAACTAAAACTATTATAGAGCCTTCAGGTTCTCTGTTTTCTAAAATGCTTGATGCTTCCAAATGTCATTATCACCTGGAAAAATACTTTAGAAACAGATATTATTTCTCCAAAGTACATCAGGAAAACTCAACGTTTTTTTGTGTTTTTGCCTCTACAGACTAGTACATTTCACCTTTGCGGAGGAATGTTCCCTGATCATTTCTTGTCCCAATTTCCTTTTTTATAATATCGTCATAATTTGCTCGTGGGTCAGATTTCATGTTCTGAAATGTAGCTTGTCTCACAACAGCATCCACATCTTCTTTACTCAGTTCTTTCTCCAGAAAACTGCAGATTTTCAGCACTGAGCCCCTGAGGTCCTGAAAATGTCATGGGTTAAGAAGTTACTGACCTTATAATGGGGGTGGGAGTTACAGCGCAGTGTGTAACATGAACAGCTAGAATTTACTTTTGGAATGCAAAGATTGTTCAACACATGAAAACATCATAGAAACAGGGTGTATTAAAACTGAAATTATTATTTATTGTAACGGATACAGAATAAACCGTTAATAAAACACAGCTTTTTTGAGACTCTGTAGTCTAAGCTGGCCTGGAATTCAGAATGAAGTCTATGCTGCTCTCAAAATTAGGCATGGTCTTCCTTTCGTAGTATCCTGTGGGCTGGGGTTAGAGGTAGCAGCTACTACTCCTGTCTCAATATCATCATAAAATAAAATAATCAGCAAATGAGCAGAAGAACTCAGGTATCTCCATTCAAATCACTTGCTTTCAATATTTTTGGCTAGAAACATACTTGGTTGAGAAGAATACGATCATTTTTATCTGATGTCTGCAATCAGTCAGATGTTACTACTTCCATTTAACATTTACTGGGAAATAATAGGCAGATAATTTCGTTAAGAAAAAGAAACATAGCGTCTAAATTATAGGCAAAGAAGTAAAACTTTCTCTGTAAAATGGACGGCAGTATGATCTCATATGTAACACAAAAACTAGGGAAAGCAAAGCATCTGCTAGAACAGTGAGATTTTACAAAGCTGTGAGATATAAATCAAATCAACACACAAGTATTAGTTGAAATTATAAATACAAGTGATGAGAAATGCTAAAGTAAGGTAAAAATACATGAAATTTGAAATGGTAGCATTAAAAACTTAGGAATAAATGGAGAAAATGTTAGTGACAGATCCATTGAAACCAACAAAACATCAATGAAAGAAAAAGAAACAGAAGCAAACAGAACAGCATCTTACAATTATGAATTGGAGGACAATTTTTATTTATTTATTTATTTATTTTATTTTATTTTTTTATTTTTTTTTTTGTGCTAGGATTTCTCTGAAGTTTTGGAGCCTGTCCTGGATCTCGCTCTGTAGACCAGGCTGGCCTTGAACTCACAGAGATACCTCACCTCTGCTTCCTGAGTGCTGGAATTAAAGTGTGCACCACCACTGCCCAGCTGAGGACAGTTATTTTAAAGATGCTATACAAAGTAATCCACAATTTCTATGTAGTCTGTAACAAAATTGCTGGTTTTTTCATTTTTGCAAAAAGAAAAGAAATCTGTGCAAAATTCATATGAAATTTTGACACCTCATAACAGCTAATTCTTCTTTCAACATGTGTGCCTCAAGGACTGCAGTTAGCTCATCAGGTCTGGCAGGAAACCCTTTACCTACTGAACCATCTCTACCCACATAAAGTATTTGAATGTCATGGTGATTCTAACAGTGTGGTTATGACTTGAATACAGAAATGCACCAACAGAACAGACTAGACTTCCCAGGAAATTATTTCTCACTTATAATGGATAAATAATTTTTAATATGGGCTACCAAGGATGTTAAGTGGGAAAGGTCATTCATTTCCACAATTGTTCTTGATAAATCAGATGTCCATAAGCTGAATTCTCACCTTACAATGTATTTCAAACAAATGAAAATTGGCCAAACATAAAAGCAAGGGCCTAAACTATGATGCTCTTAGAGAGAGTTAAAGGGAATGATTTACCACACAGGATTTCACAGTTCTGTTCTGAATATCCCTCCACAGGTATAGAGACATGGAGAATGATTTACATCATGTGGGGTATATCTCTAGAAGTACAGACAGCAAGAAAAAACTTATTAAATTGATTATATTAAATTCAGTAATGCCCTTATAAAAAAGGACAGATTCAATGAAGTGAAAAGTTTACCTATAGAATTGGAGCTTCTAAAGAGTCTATACATTTACTACAAAAAAAAAAACAGAGATGGTTTTACATCTGGGGACCAGATATTTAGGGCCCTGCTAAGATGACTTAAGTATGTTAGTCTCCATCTTTCTGTGTGGTCATTTGAGGAAAAAACTTAGAGTGTTGTGGTTAATAAAATAATAGGATCCTAATGCTAAGTGATTTACACAAATGGCTTTGATGAACAATGACTGACTACAAAACCAAGAACAGAAAGAACATTCTAGAGAATATTGGGAGTTTTCTCTCTCTTTAAAAAATAATGATGTCAATTATAATTATGGGCATGATGTGTGAGTATAGTCAGTAGGTAAATCTTCACCTTTTTTTGTTTACTCACATTTACCATTTTCACTTTTAAAGTCATGGTAGGGAATGATATTTCAAAGAAACTAATTTTGCTCCATTGCTGTGTTTTTAAAAAATAACTCTTAATGTCTCTTCATTACTTTGGGATTACAGAAATAATCATTAGCATGACCCACAGATCTTGCGCAGTCCTGACTCCAGTCTCACATACTAGTTTCTTGTTCCCTACCCAACACCTTTGATGTTCAAGTCCTTTTCTTACTTGGTTTTAAGTACTGTATTGCTTCAAATAATATTACTCTTGTGTTTTGCCTTTACCCATTTTCTTTTTGTGATTTTATATATATCAACTTGTAAATCCTGTGTTACATTTACCCCCAAGAAAAGCCATTATCTTTAGTTATACCAGAAAACTTCGTATGAATGCTGACATTATATTTGGCATTTCTTTAATAACTACACTTACTAGTCTAAAATCTCTAAAAGTTTAAAAATCATAGTGTGTGTGTGTGTGTGTGTGTGTGTGTGCACGCGTGTGCGTGCGTGTATGTATGTGAGCATGCATCGTGATTGCTGTTTGATGGGAGCTTGTGCCATGGTGCATGGGTGGAGCTCAGAAGACAAATTTAAGGAGTTATTTCTGGCCTTCCACCTTTATGTGAGGATTGAATTTGGGTTTTCAGGCACACATTGGAAGGCCCTTTATCCACTTTGCCCTGTCACCAGACAAGATACACTTATGGATTTTTTACTTTGGGTATTTGCTTTTTGACTGTTTGCCTTCCTTGTTAACTCATGGATTCTACAAAAAGATAAGTCCTTGTTTGCTCTTGTTTTGCAGCCTGTCACAGAGAGGACATTCACTTATTTTTCATTAATTAATATGTCAATAAGTACCAGAATTTGGTGAACTTTAATTCTCTTTTCTTTGATTTATAGATACTGTTTAATTGTGAAAAGTCAAAAATTATTCTCCATATTCTCTGAGAGTTGCTCCAGATGAAGCAATTAAAATTTAAAATAATTGCCCACCCTAAAGTGGCTCCCTTAACTAAGAATTGTGGTTCCAAGCTCCCCTATCCACCCTTCCTTTATCCCAATCCTCCTGTTTCCCCAAGTCCCTCCCTCCTTCCCTTCTACCTTTTCTCTCCCCATCTCTTCTTACCCCCATCCCACCCCACTCCCAAGATCCCAATTTTCTCCCCGGCAATTTTGTCTACTTCCCTTAGTCAAGAGGATAACTATATGTTTTTCCTTGGGTTCACCTTCTTACTTAGCTTCTTTAGGTTCATCTATTGTAGACTCTGTGACCCTTGTTTATGGCTAGAAACCAATTATGAGTGAGTACATCCCATGTTCATCTTTTTGGGTCTGGGATACCTCACTCAGGATAGTGTTTTCTATTTCCATCCATTTGCATGCAAAATTCGAGAAGTCATTGTTTTTTACCGCAGCGTAGTACTCTAGTGTGTATATATTCCATACTTTCTTCATCCATTCTTCCATTGAAGTGCATCTAGGTTGTTTCCAGATTCTGGCTATTACAAATAATACTGCTATGAACATAGTTGAACAAATGCTTTTGTCATATGATAGAGCATCTCTTGGGTATATTACCAGGGACAGAGACCCACACTGGAGCACTGGACTGAGCTCCCAAGGTCCCAATGAGGAGCAGAAGGAGGGAGAACATGAGCAAAGATGTCGGGACCACGAGGGGTGCACCCACCCACTGAGACAGTGGAGCTGTTCTACTGGGAGCTCACCAAGGCCAGCTGGACTGTGACCGAAAAAGCATGGGATAAAACTGGACTCTCGAACATGGCGAACAATGAGGGCTGATGAGACGCAAAGGACAATGGCAAGGGGTTTTGATCCTACTTCATGTTCTGGCTTTGTGGGAGCCTAGCCAGTTCGGATGTTCACCTTCCTAGAAATAGACGGAGGGGGGAGGACCTAGGACTTACCACAGGGCAGGGAACCCTGACTGCTCTTTGGACTGGAGAGGGAGGGGGAGAGGAGTGGGGGAAGGGGGAGAAGGGTGGGAGGAGGAGGAGAAGGGTGGGAGGAGGGGGAGGGAAATGGGAGGCTTGGAGGAGGAGGAAACTTGTTTTTTTTCTCCTTTTCTCAATAAAAAAAAGTTAAAAAAAAAGAAAAATAATTTAAAATAATTAAAAAAATTATTTAGAAAAAAACCAGAGAACTTGTCCCATCAGTCAAATTATTGTCTATGGCTCTAATTGTTCACATTTTATAGTAGATACAAGCCTCACTGCTGTTTGCTGGCCTTTAGTGGTGAGCATGGGAAATATAGTAAAGTGGGTTATTATGTCAGTTCTAGCCTCCCTGAGAATATAGCCAAGAGAAATGAAGTCACCATTAAAAACCTTACTGCTATCTAGTGTTACTGCTATACATCTTCAACTACAAGACATGGACTTGGCCTGATGTCCACCAACAGATGAAAGAGTAAAGAATTTATAATATACATCATATACAATAATAATGTAAAATATTTTTCAGACATAAAAATGAAATAAAATTCTGTCATTTGCAGTAAAATGTATGAAATTAAGGACATCAGGTTAAGTTAATAAGCTAGACAATGAGACAAATTTCTTGTGTTCTCTTTAAAAACTTAAAAGTCAACCTTAAACGACTTTTAAGTGTTTTTGTGTTTAGCAGTAATTGGGTAAGGTCTGAGGGGCAAGAAAGGAATGCCAGAATGTGACAAGATAAGATCAATGCATATTCTATTCATGGACAAGAATATAACATCAAATTTCACTAATGAATGTAATTAACATGTGATGATAAAGTTTTTAATTATGGAAGCCATTTGTGCTGTGAAGTTTAGGGGTTACCTTTGATACATAAAAAGGGATCACAAACGATGACTTCAAAGGGAGAAGAGAGCACAGAAGAAGTCCAGTGAACGAGGCAGAGGCTGGACATTAGGAATGATCTCCAACAAAAAGCCCAAAGAAGAATTAAAGTATGAAGATATCTTGGAGAATATGCTTTTAATCAAGAGAAGAGCTGTGTAAAAGAAATCATTTAAAAATACAACTTACCTTCTTCATATCTTCATAGCTCAGGAACATAATATTGAAGTCATGTCTGTGTTCATACCAGCCTCTTATGTGGTCAAACCAATTGTTTTTTACCACTGGGAAGAAAAGTAACAAGTGGGAATGCCAAGCTGTGTATCCATGTAGTGGACAACCAACTCTGAGCCTTTTTTTTCTGGTTTGGAATTTTTAGAAGTAAAATGGAGGGCCTGCGATGGAAATCTAGATCCCTATTTTTAAAATGTTTAATGGTTTGTGGGAATAATTACCTGACATTTATAGAAACCTGTCTATATAATGTTACTAAAGGAATATGAAAGAAATAATAGAGAAATAAAGGGCCTGAGGCTGCAGGTGGCTTTAAGGCACACTGGTTCTTTTTCCTTCTTCTCCACAGAGGGCACAAGTCTCTGTTTTCTCCTCTTGTTTACTGTCAGCAACCGTCAGAATCTATCATCTTACAAACCAGCGAAATTCTGATTCCACGTGTGTTGTGCTGTGGGATAATGCTCTTGTACCCTGTAAAGATTTGTCACTTGTATTGGTTTAATAAAATGTTGATTGGCCAGTATCCAGGCAGGAAGTATAGGGGGAGTGCCCACACTAGGAGAATTCTGGGAAGAGGAAAGGCAGAGACAGTGGTCATCCAGAGAAAGCAAAATGAAAATGCTGCACTGAGAAAAGATACCAAGTCAAGTAGTTAAATATATAGAAGAATTATGGGTCAATTTAAGTTGTAATAGCTAGTTAATAATAAGCCTGATCTAATAGGCCAAGTGGTTTATGTAATTAATATAAACCTCTGTATTTTTTTGGGGGACTGAATGGACTATGGGACCATGTGGGACAGAAACTTCTGTCTACAGTGTTGAGCCTCTTTCCTTAATTAATCCACCTATGCAGTAGAATGAACAATTCCACTGTTGCGGTATAAGCCAAACACAGGCTCATGCAAAACATTCAACCACCCTCAGCATTTTCTCTGACAGAATGGATTATTCTACCTTTGCACTAGTTGAAAGTAATTGATAGAATATCTGTAAACCAAAATAATTTTTACATGATATGCCTTTGTAATCCTGGCAATCCTCAAATGGTGCATAAAGATAGAAAACCCAGTTGATAGCATACAGAGTTGACATACCATTGTCACTAGATATTAGTTCTTTTTGTTTTGTTTTTTGTTTGTCTGATATTGATTTTTCTTGTCTTTTATTTTGTTGTTGTTGTCGTTCTTTTAAAAAAGAAGTGCCTGGGTCCATTTCTTTAAGTTATGTTCTGTAAGTCTGAGAATTTGGCTTACTGTTACCTTTCGTGTGATTCATTTGATTCTGGGTTGATTAATTAATGCTTACCTTTTCCATGTAGAAATGTTTGCATAAATGTTTCTATAGTGTTTGAGGCTTCAATTATAACTATCCAATTTGAAAAATGAAAGTAGGAGGTCAAAACATCTTTAGGATTTCTGTAGATATAAAGAATCTGTAGATAGAATTATGGAATTATTTCTTTAAGCAAATCTTGGTTATGCTTATAAGTTTTTTAATACAATTTTATAATATTTGCTTCTGACAATAGTGTAATTATTTATTCTAGTCTTTGAACTGTACAAAGTCAAGTGGTTATTATTTATATTTTGGTGTTCCAGAGAATACTGTAATAAACAACCTTTCTCTATGGCATTTCATGTTTAAGAATGTAGCTCAAAAGGAGATCAAGATCATAATTGGTACACCCACTAAAACAGTCTACCTGAGCTAATGGTAACTCACCAACTCCAGCCCGATATGGAAGGAATAAGCATATGTCCAAACTAGTCCCATTCAGTGGAACTGACAGTTTTATGGGTGGGGCAGTCTGAGGGGCCTGTGGCAGTGGCACCAGGATTTATTTCTACTGCTTGTACTGGTTTTTTGGGAAGCTTTTCTCTTTGGATGGATACCTTGCTCAATCTAGATAGAGTAGGGAGGGCCTTTGGACTTTGCCCAAAGCAATGTACCTTGTCCTTTCTGAGTGAGCAGTGGTAAGTTGAGTGAATGGGAGGAGGGGAGGGTTTGGAGATAAAACAAGACTAATAATCATATTGGTATAACTAGTAATCTACTTATAATCTTCAAAAATGAGTTTTTCCTTCATATCTTTCAGAAAATTAATTTAAACATGAGTTAAGAGCATAAGTAGTATAAAAACTCACATAGAAATAATAATCTGTGGGCATCTGTCCACAACATTAAAACGTGGGTATCTACTGCAGGAGGAGGAGCTCATGCCAGCTGTGGCTACATGAAATACTCTCTTAAAAAAAGGAAATAATGTAAGTGAAGGAGGAAAAGAATAAGAAAGAAAAGCCCAAACTCAAAGAACATATCTCAATAAACCTCTTAAAGAAAGTAAAGAATACCATGAAAAAAACAATCAAACAAGTGAAGGAAATAGTTCAAGACTTGAAAATTCAAATAGAGGCAATAAAGAAAACAAAAAAATTGAGGAAATTTTAAATGTGGAAAATCAGGGTAAATGATCAGGAACTACAAATGCAAGCATAACCAACAGAATGAAAGAGATGGAAGAGAGAATCATGGGCATTGAATATAAAGTAGAGAAAATAGATTCATTGGTTAAAAAAGAAGTTTAATCCAACAAATTCTTAGCACAAAATATCTAGGAAATCAACGACACCATGAAATGACCAAACCTAAAAATAATAGGGATTGAAGAAGGCGAATACCAGCTCAAAGTCACAGAAAATATTCAACAAAATCATGGAAAACTTTCCCACCCTAAAGAAGGAAATGCCTATGAAGGTACAAGAAACATACAGAACACCAATTACAATAGAACTCCCTAAAAGTCCTCTTGCCATATAGCAATCAAACCACTAAACATTCAGAATAAAGAAAGCATACTAAGAGCTGCCAAAAAAAAAAAAAAAGGACAAGTAACATAAAATGCAAACCTATCAGAATTACACCTGACTTCTCAATAGAAATTCTGAAAGCTAGGTGGTCCTTGGCAGATGTTCTGCAGACACTAAGAGACCACAGATTCCAGCCCAGACAACTATACCCAGCAAAGCTCTCAATTACCATAGACAGAGAAAATATGATATTCTGCGACAAAACCAAATTTAGATAATAGTTATCCACAAATCCAGCCCCACAGAAAGTAACAGAAGAAAATATCCAGCCAAAGGAAGCTAGCTGTACCCACAAAAATCACAGGTAACAGGAAACCTCACACCAGCAAATCCAATAGGAAGCACACATACACTACCACCACCACCACCACCACCACCACCAAAACCAAAATTGCTAACATTAGCAATTAGCAATTAACAATCACTAGTCATTAATATCTCTTAATATAGGTGGTCTCAATTCACTTATGAAAAAAGGCAGGCTATCAAAATGGATACAAAAACAGGACTCATCTATCTGCGGCAGACAAGAAACACATCTCAATCTCAAAGACAGAGATTGTCTCAGAGTAAGGGTTGGGAAAAGATTTTCCAAGCAAATGGACCGAAGAAACAAGCGAGTGTAACTATTCTAATAGCTAAGAAATAGATTTCAAAATAAAATTAATCGAAAGAGATGGAGAAGGACATTTCATATTCATCACAGGAAAAATCCATCAAGATGAAGTCTCAATTATGAACACCTATGCCCCCCAAACAATGACACCCTCATTTGTAAAAAAAAAAATTACTTCAGCTTAAATCACTCATCAAACCCCACACGCAAATATTGGGAAACTTCAATATTCCACTTTCACCACTGCACAAGTCTACTAGACAGAAGCTTAACAGAGAAATAAAGAAACTAACAGACGTCATGACTCAAATGGACTTACCAGACAGCTATAGAACATTCCACCACCAAATAAAAGAATATACTCTCTTCTCAGCACCTCATGGAGCCTTCTCTAAAATTTACCACATACACCATTGCAAAGCAAACCTCAGCAGATACAAAAAAAAAATTGCAATAGCCCCCTGTATTTTATCAGCTCACCATAACTTGTAGTTGGACTTCAACCACAATGCTAATTGTAGAAAGTCTACAAATTCATGGAAATTGAACAATGCTCAAATGAATCATCAATGGGTCAAGGAAGAAATAAAGAAAATTTAAAGACTTCCCAGAATTCAACAAAAATGAAAGCACAACATACCCAAACTTATGGGACAGTATGAATGCAGTACTAAGAGAAAAGTTTGTCTATTATGTTGATTTTCTGAAAGAACCGACTTTTTGTTTTATTGATTCTTCGTATTGTTCTCAGGAAGGTGTGATCTACTGGCTTCTGCTCTAACTTGACAAACTACTAATATTCTGTATTACCCTTCACCTCGGTTTCAATTAATATAGGATCATAACCTAGGAAATTAAATGCTTATACAGGAAAAAGCCTGAGTCACTAAAACTAGCTTCAGAGAGAAAAATTCTCACTTGGGCACCCTGCCGGAGTCAAAAGCAAAGTCCCAAGAAGAGATTCCTTTATTTCAACTAGCTAGATGCTAATGAAAATCAAGCCTGCAGGGTAGTATAGCTACCAAGGCTATGTTCCCAGCCACTGTGGAACTTCACAGCCACACCTGCTCTGAGACATAAGGCACCTCCTTGTCAGTTTACTGGTTTCTTGTGACTCTGAAAACACATGGTTGATACTATTGTTATCTCCTATGGGATTGCTAACTTGTCTGTATGCCTATAAACAGAAAGTTTTGTAATCATTCTTCTTCTTCCTCTTCTTCCTCTTCTTCCTCTTCCTCCTCTTCCTCCTCCTCCTCCTCCTCCCCTCCTCCTCCTCCTCCTCCTCCTCCTCCTCCTCCTCCTCTTCTTCTTCTTCTTCTTCTTCTTCTTCTTCTTCTTCTTCTTCTTCTCACTGCTTCTTCATTCCAAGGAATAAAGAACATGTAGTAGTAAAGTACATGAGTTGATTTATTAGATTTACCCTCAGATCCAATTAGCCAGGCTTTTGCCTGCCATAGTGAGTCTTTCTGGATCCTACCAGGTTTAATGTGCTTAACCCCAAAATAAATCTCTATACAATAAGGAAGGTTCAACATATGAAAATCTGTCATTTTAATCTATCATATAAATAAACTACAAAAAACCCACAATCATCTCATTAGATGCTGAAAAAGCTTTCAACAAAACCCAATACCTCTTCATGATAAAGGTCTTTGAGAGATTAGGGTTACAAAGGACATACCTAAACATAATAAAGGCAACATACACCAAGCCAACAGCCACCATAAAACTAAATGAAGAGAAACTTAAAATGATTCTACTAAAATCAGGAAAAAGACAAGGCTGTCCACTTTCTCCATATCTGTTCAATATAGTACTTGAAGTTCTGATTATAGCAATAAAACAACAAAAGAAAACCAAGGGGAAATGTATTGGAAGGGAAGAAGTCAAACTTTCACTATTTGTAGATCATATGATAGTATACATAAGTGACCCCAAAAATTCCACCAGGGAACTGCTACAGCTGATAAACATCTCCAATAATGTGGAAGGACATAAGATTAACTAAAAAAAATCAGTGACCCTCTTATATACAAATGATAAATGGGCTGAGAAAGAAATAAGAGAAACATCACCCTTTAGAATAGCCACAGATAACATGAAATATCTTGGAGTAACCAAAGAAGTAAAAGATCTGTATGACAAGAACTTTAATAAGTTTTTAAGAAAGAAATTGAAGAATATATTAGAAAACAGAAAGTCAGAAAAAAAACCATGCTCTTGGTTACTTAGGATTAACATAGTAAAAAATACAATATTACCAAAAGCAATCTACAGATTCAATCCAATCACCATCAAAATCCCAACACAATTCTCCATGGAGCTTGAAAGAACAGTACTCACCTTCATATATATATAAAAAACCCCAAAATCTCAGGATAGCCTAAACAACCCTGTATACTAAAGGAACTTGTGGATGCATCACCATCCCTGACTTCAGGCTCTACTATAGAGCTACAGTATTAGAAACAGCTTGATACTGGCATAAAAACAGATGTGTGGATAAATGGAATCAAATTGAAGACCCTGACACTATTCCACACACCTATGAACATTTGAATTTTGACAAAGAAGCCAAAACTTTACAATGGAAAAAAGAAGGCATCTTTAACAAATGGTTCTGGCATAACTAGATGCTAACATATAGAAGAATGCAAATAGACCCATATCTATAACATGTACAAAACTCAAGTCCAAATGAATCAAAGACCAAATCCATTTACACTGCACCTGATAGAAGAGAATATGAGAAATAGCCTTGAGCATATTGGCACAAGAGACCACTTTCTAAATATGAAGCCAGTAGCACAGACTCTGAGAAAAACAATCAATGTATGGGACCTACTGATACTGAGAATCTTCTCCAAACAAAACAGCAGCCTCCAGAATAGGAAAACACCACCAATTCCACATCTGACAGTTGATCTCCAATAAATGTAAAGAACTCAAGAAACTAGACACCAAATTACCAAACATTCCAATTAAAAATGGGGTACAGATTTAAACAGAATTCTCAACAGAAAAACCTTAAATGTCCAAAAGACACTTGCTCAACATGCTTAACCCTCAGGAAAATGCAAAGCAAAATGACTCAGAGATACCATCTTACACCTATCAGAATAGTTAAGACCATAAACACTGATGACTGCACATTATGCTAGAGATGATGTGGAGTAAGGCAAACACTCCTCTGTTGCTGGAGGGAATGAAAACTTATACAGCCACTTTGGAAATCACTATGGCATTTTCTTAGAATGTTTGGAATCAATCTACCTCAAGACCCGGTAATACCATTCTTGGGCATATACCCAAAGGATACACAATCATACTGCGAGGAAATTTGCTCAACTATGTTCAAAGCAGCATTATTTATAAGAGTCAGAACCTGGAAATAACTTAGATGTCCATCAATTGAAGAATGGATAAGGAAATTGTGTTATATTTTCACAATGGAGTATTAGTGGTAAAAAAAATAATGACATCTTGAAATTTGCAGGCAAATGGATGGTACTAGATAAAAATCGTCCTTAGTGAGGTAAGGTGTCCCAGGTCCAGAAATACAGACATGGTATGTAGTCACTCTTAAGTGGATATTAGATGTAATCAAAGGATAACAAAGTTATAATCCACAGCCCCAGAGACGCAAGCTAAAAAGGGGGACTTTAAGACGGACACACATGGAAAGAGCCAGGAAGGAAAATATTAAGATCTCTTGAGTAAATGGGGAGGAGGGTAAAAGGAAGGAGTTGGAGGATAAGAATATGATGAATCAACAAGACCAAGTTAGGAGAGAACAATGAGGAAGATATCTTGATAGAGGAAGTTAGGGAGAAGAAACCTGGTACTAGAAAAATTCTCAGGAATCCATGAGGACGACTCCATCCCAGTCTCCTAGTAATAGTGTCTGAAAGGGCCTTCTTCTTTATTCAGATTAATGACTACCTTAATTGTCATCATTGATTCTACATCCAGTAACTGCTGGAAGCAGATGCAGTGACCCACAGTCAAGCATTCAGCTGAGCTCCTGCACTTCATCTGAAGAGAGGAGGATGGATCAAAATAACAAGGGAAGTAAAGAGCATGATGGGTAATCCCAGAGAGATAGCTGACCTGAGCAAGTGGGAACTCAGAGACTATAGACTGACAGGTGGGGAACCTGCATGGGACTGAACTAGACCTTCTAAATGTGGGTGACAAATATGTGGTTTGATCTTTTGGAGGGGGCTCTGGCAGTCACACAAGGACCTATCCCAGGTGCATAAATCTGCTTTTCAGGGTCAGTTCCCTATATTGGCTTGATATTAGGGGTAGGGGCTTGCTCCTGCCTCAAGTTAGTATTCCAGACCTTGTTGATTTCTGAAGGAAGGCCTTTCTCCCTCTGAGTAATGGATTGGAAATGGGAAGAGGGGAGGTGGGGGATGGAAGAAAATATTAGAGGGGGAAACGGTGTTGGGATATAGATTGAAAATTACTTTTTAACAAAAAATATGAAAAATAACAATAAAAAGAAAAATCAGTTTTCTAAAACTAAAATTAAGAATGTTGTTGATAAAAACACAAACAATGGGGATGAGGTAAAATAGATTCATATCTAGAAGTGATAGAAAGCATACTGACCAGAAGAATGTAGTAAAATATTGGGCTAATGATAGACACTTTCCACACAAACAAAAATAATGATGGCCAATAAACATCCTACATGCTACTTCCAATATAAGGATGAGGATGCAACTTAAGATACACTTGAGACACCTCTTCCTAGATGCCATGTTTATAAACATCTAAAAGTCTGATATGTCACATTACTAGGGAAACCCTAAGAAGACATCTATTGAGCATTTCTGCAAGAAATGACAAATACACTTTCTTCAGAATTACTGCACCACCTATGTAAGTGGAGTACTCTGGTCACTGTGGCTCTGCAGTCTATTCCTGGGTGTGGGTTCTAGGGAAGCTGCTGGGAGAGTACCAGGAGACACACTCAAGAACGTTCATAGCAGCTGCATCACAGTGGCAAAACATTGGAATAGCCTAATTATTCAGTACTTAGAGAAGGCATTTCATGGATACAGTAAGTCACTAAGCTCTATGACATACTTTGACTTTTTTGTTCTTGAAATCTTTTGGCACTAAATAATACGGGAGGTGGGAACAAAAGATACGAGGTGATGGCATTTTGGCAAAGTCCACATTATGAATATTGTACTCAAAGGATGGTACTCTGTCTATTATTTGGATGTTTTCAGTGTTGTTCCTGTGGCCCTCAAAATAAATCAGGCTGAGGATCTGTTGTGTCCAGGCGGTACCTGTAAGAACAAATAACAACCCCATTTTCAGTGCTGAAGTAGGTTTTAATAATACCAATAGTAATGTATCCGTTTTACAAATAATTTGGAGCTTTCTTTTCCTTTAGCATGCTAGGCATGCTTAGATATGCCACTTTTTCATTCCCCTTTGTCTGTAATGAACACTCACATCAGTAAGGCTGAATTCTACACCTCTTTGCTCCGTTCTCACTTACAAAGATGTGGTTATTGGTAATGAGAGTCCAGATAATTCTTGTAGTATTGTTGAAATGACAGTATGTGGAAAGGAGAATATTTATGCACTTATTATTAAACCAAAATACCACACAGTTGTAGCACACACCTTCAATGCCTGCAATCGTGAGGCAGAGGTAGATGTATCTCTGTGAGTTCGAGGCCATTCTTGTCTACAAGAGGTAGGTGTAGGACAGGTTCCAAAGTGACAGAGAAACCCTATCTTGAAAAACAAAACAAAATTGATGTGAGAGTCCCCTATGTTTGCTGTGATTACCATTAATGAATAAAGAAACTTCCTTAGCCTGTTAATAGGGCAAAACTTAGGTAGGTAGGGAAGACTGGACTGAATGCTGGGAGAAAGATTGGTTGTGTCTAGGACATGCCATAGCTCCTCTGCCAGAGATAGATGTGCTGAAACTTTGCTGGTAGGCCATGACCTTGCGGTGATATACAGATTAATAGAAATGGGTTTAATTAAGATGTAAGAGTTAGCCAATAAGAAGCTAGAGCTAATGAGCCAGGCAGTGGTTTAATTACTACAGTTTCTGTGTGATTATTTTGGTTCTGGGCAGCTGGGTCGAATAAGCAGTTCCCTGCAACACAAAATAAACAAAACAAACAAAACAAAAAACAAAGACGAATGCCATATGACCTATTTATGCCACTCACCAGATTTTGGATATGTGACTATGAAGACATCATCATCTCTAATTTCCTGATCATCCATGTTTTCCTCTATGTTCATGTTAACTAAACTTCTTTCAAAGTTATGGCCTCTGAAGTTAAGTACATATTCATCTTGATTGTCCATAGTGATTTACCTAGAAGGAAAAATTACAAAATTTTCTTCACTATCATAGCATTTTCCAATAGTGAGTAATGCTTTTGCGTGGTCTACATGTGTCAAGCACCACTGAAATGTCCCTCACATATTAATATTTACTATAATAAGCACTTATATATGCTATATTATTTAAATTTAAAAGAATCTTATGTTTTTACATTTTTATTATCACTCTATAAAATATGAAGAAACAAACATAGCAGGAATTTAGAAAGATTTTTCTGTCATTCCAGATGGAAAAAGTGATCTTAATTCTAAACATACAGGAAATTAGGGTACAGAGGATGCAACCGATCAAGTTATTCAAGGTTGTTCAGTTTGTCAAGTTAGAAAGAAGACAGCAAACAATTGGGGTAGAGTACATGTTTGTAACTGAAATGTTTCTTTGTAAAATAAATTTTTATTTTTTATATAGGGGTCATATTATACAGGCCCATATATCTACATTGCATGGCAGCTATAATTCTGAGCCTCCTTCAGGGCACAATTTACATCTGCCACACAGAAGGTGGTCACCTAGCCTTTTTAGGCAACCTGATGCCACCCTAAACAAAGGGTTATGATATGCTAATGTCACTCTGCTCCTTTTTTGTAATTTAGGAAGTTGCATGAGGAAGAGGTGTTAATTCAGTCTACTTGACAGAGCAGCCATAGTTGTGGAAGTTACCTAACTCATTCAGACCTGCTACCCAAGAAACAGAATGCTAATGAATTCCCCCTCAGTTTTCCTTTTGATATAAAAGCTGTTTGTATAATAAATGTGGGTGATCTTCAGGAATTGAATGAACTCTGAAATGCCCTCCTGATATTGCCCTGTGAACTCTGCTTCAATTATTCCCATGCCTCCACTCTGGTTCAAGATATAATGTTATTGTGGTTGGACCCCGACATAGTGGCATCCAATGTGGAGCTGATCAGTGAACCCTTAAAAGCACTGTAGAAGTGACCAGATATATGGAGGAGAATTTGAGAAACCCATTAGAAAATTACACTACACGTGGATATGTAAGTAGTGAGCACTCAGAAATAAAGAATAGAATTAAAAAAAAGTATAGAATAAAGCAGGACAATAAAATTGGGAGTAAAAAGTTTGTAAATATATTGAACTATGGGTGAAGGAAGAAGCAATAAAATAGCATACAGTTGATTGGAGATATTTTAAAGGATAGAGGAGCAAGAGAACAGCAACATCAGATACAGGATTTTTTAAAATTTATAGGGCATCTATGTTCTTGGTTTTCTGAGTTCAGGACTTTACATGCCATGACGTGGAAAGAAGTTGGGATAAAGATTCAACATTATTGTGATTATGGATCAGAAATCATCCCCATAGATACACATCATTTCTGGATCCTAATACAGGAAAGGTTGGACTAAAATCCTGTACATCAGGAGATATTTCCCTCTGAGTCAGTTAGAAGGGAGACAATTTCTGCACCCTCTGTACCGCCAGAGGAGTTGCTAGATGCTTTTACAGAACTGAGTGGTTCCAATCATTCAGAGCCTATTGAATTAGAGTATTATGAAGAGGAATCTTCATCTCCCTCATTAATAACCAGCAATGCTGAAAGACAGGAAAATGATAATGAGGTTCAGAAAGAGCTAAAAGGCTTGAAAAAGTTGGTAACCTCACTATAGCAGGGACAGGAAACTCTGCGGATCCAGGACTCTTGCCAGAAGAGTAATTCTCTTCCTACTGTAATAACTGGTTTAGATTCACCGATGGTACAAAATGCTACGAAGGAGAGGCAAATGCCTAACTATAATTACGAATCTCCTTTACAACTTTACAAGCCACTAACAGAGGGGAAGAATTGCAAAGATTTCAATTGTATCCCATAATAGAACAAAGAGATGCTCAAGAGAATTTGCTTAGGATACATACTCCCATATCATTTATGTTACCCAAGGAATTAAAAACTGACTGAGCTCAGTATGGCCTAATGGACCCATTTACCCAAATGCTATTAGAAAATATAGCAATAGAAGTACTGCCCCCAGGGGATTGGAAGCAGATAGCCAAAGCTTGCTTGACAGGAGGAAACTATCTATTGCTTACACCAAATTTGCATAACAATGTCAGACCACAGTTAAGAGAAACAGGGCTCAGCAGGTTCCTATTTCATATGAAATGCTTGCAGGTGAGGGACGTTATATAGGAGCAGATCAGTCATTAGACTTTGATATGGCAGTGTATGTCCAAATTAGTGCAGTGGCCAAGAAGGCCTGGAATAGACTTCCATCATCAAAAGAAAAGACTGAGGAGTTGTCTAGTATAAGACAGGGACCTGTAAGAGGAAGGGCTGCTTGTTTGTCCTGGCTGACCACAACTGAAATAACCTCAGAGAAACTGTATTAATTTAATTACTGCTTGGTCCATTAGCTATAACTTCTTATTGGCTAACTATTGAATCTTAACTTAACCCATTTCTATTAATCTGTATATCACCATGAGGTTGTGGCCTACCAGCAAAGTTCCAGCACTTCTATCTCTGGCAGCAGATTCATGGCATCTCCCAGACTCCTCCCTTCTTCCTCCCAGCATTCAGTTCCATCTTTCCCACCTACCTAAGTTCTGCCTTATCAAAAGGCCAAGGCAGTTTCTTTATTTATTAACCAATGAAAGCAACACATAGACAGAAGGACCTCCCACACCAGGGACCAGATGAATTATTTCAGGACTTTGTTTCCAAACTAACACAGGCATCTTATAAGTTGATTGGAGACAAAGAAGCAAGACAGTTAACAATTAAACAGCTAGCCTTAGAGAATGCTAATGCTAAATGTAAGGTGGCTCTAAGACCTTGTAGAAAGCAGAATAACATTACAGATTATATCTGAATTTGCACAGATATTGGCCAATCATATACACAGGGAATGGCCATAGCTGCTACCTTGCAAAGAAAGACAATTAATGATGTCCTATCCCAACAAAGAGTTCTAGGCCCAGGGAGAATGGAAGCTACAGGTCTTCCTGGAAGCTGTTTTGGATGTGGTCTTACAGGGCTTCAGGTCAGACAATGTCCTGATAGGAGAGTAAACCTGAGGACAAGAAGAGAACCAAGAATATGCAGGAGATGCAGGAGAGGAAAACATTGGACTAGTGAGTGCAGATCAAAAGGAGATGACCTAGGAAATCCCCTTTTAAGGGCTAGCCTCAGGCCCTGAGACAGAATTAATTATGGGGCAATTCAGCAACTTCTTCTCCCACAGGGATATCCATTCAGGACCTTTTTAGAACAACCACAGGAAGTGCAGGGCTTGACCTCAGTTCTTCCATATGCATGGTTCAGACACCCAAAGTAGGGATGCAAGCTCTCCCCACTGGGGTTTATGGGCCCTTATCAAAGGCCCTGTAGGGCTCTTATGAGGAAGAAGTTGCACCATTATGCAAGGAATTATTGTTGTTCCTGGAGTCATTGATGCTGACTTTGAGGAAAAGATCAGGGTGATGACTCACTCACCAAGTTGAGTTTCTGTAATAAAAGCAGGTCAGAGGCTTGCACAATTAATTTTACTACCTGATATGAAAACCAAAAATCAGGTTAAGAAAGATAAGAGAGGAAATGATGAATTTGGTTTATCAGATGCCCATTGTCTACAAGCCACAGGACCTCAGAGAGAAGAACTCACTTTGTTTATAAATGGAAGAAGATTTTCGGGTTGTCTATATACTGGAGTGGATATTTTGGTTATAACTTCTATCCAGTGTCCTTCTAAGTGGCCAAAGACAGATACTATTACACAACTACAAGGAATTGACCAGACTTGAAATCCTGAACAAACAGTAATGAGCTGCACTGGAGAGGGCCATGAAGGAACTTTCCAGCCACACAGTATTCCTCATTTACCTATGAATTTATGGGGCTGAGATATTATGTCCAGAATGGAGGTATATTTATATTCCCTCAGCACACCTATTACTAATCAACTGTTTCAACAAAGATTATTTCCTAATCAAGGTCTAGGCAAGGAAAATAAGGGAAGGATCGAACCTATCATACTGATGGTAGACATCCTAGGGCAGGATTGGGGTATTTTTAGGAGAGATCACTGAAAATCTGCACTCCATGCCTACCCAGTATCCTGGGAAATGACGAGCCTGTATGGATAAATTAGTGACCTCTAACAGAAGAAAAATTACAAGTTGCCCAACAGTTAGTGCAAGAACAACTGAATAATGGACACATTACACCATTAATTCACTATGGAATTCTGCAATTTTTGTCTTTAAAAAGAAATCAGGAAAGTGGAGATTGATTCAGGATTTAAGGGAGGTTAATGGAACCATGCAGCTGATGGGAGCATTATAACCAGGGCTGCCTTCTCCTACCACAATACCAAAAGGCACCCATAAAATTATTTTAGACTTAAAAGATTGTTTTTATACCATCCCTTTGGTGCCACAAGATTGCCAAAGATTTGCTTTTAGTATCCACTCAGTTAATTTCAGACAGCCAATGTAGAGATATCAATGGAGCATCTTACCCCAGGGTATAACACAGTGCCACCTTATGCCAGAAGTTCATAGCTCAGGCTATACGAAATGTCAGAGATCAATTTCCACATTTTGTCCATTATATGTATGATATCTTGGTTGCCCATAGAGATGTAGGACTTTTACTTGAGATGTATGAACTACTACAACAGAGCCTTAGCCATGTGGGGCTAGTTACTACTCCAGAGAAAGTGCAGAGGCACCCACTTTTCCAGTATTTAGGTCATATGTTATACCCCAAAGAAATTAAGCCTCAAAACGTTGAATTCAGAAAGAATGGTTTTAAAGACAATAAATAACATTGAAATGTTGTTAGGAAATATATAACAGCTGAGACCTTATGTAAGGTATCCTATAAGAGACCTTGAGCCTCTAACTGAAATCCTTAGGGGGGGACAGTCACAAATTCCAGCAGACAGCTTTCAGAAACTGCCAGACAGGTTCTCTCCCAGGTAAAGCAGGCTATGCAAGATGAATAG